AATATCTTCTAAAATGGGATCTAGTATTAAAATTAAAAGTGTTGTTGTTTTCTGTGAACTCTAAGCACAGGGCCTAAAATATAGTATGTGCTCAAATATATGTTTTTATTTCTTTTTTGGATTTATCTTTTGTCTTTCCACAGTAAGTTACTGTGAATAAGAACTCTCTGGAAAAACAGAGATATCAAGGAGTTTGAAAGTCAACATAATCTCCATTATACTTTCTTTACCTCTAAAAAGTTCACATCAAGTTTTTACATTTGTGCAGGGATATATTTTTTGATGGTTCAGTGAGTTACTCTCCCCAAACAGTAACAATTTTGAATAACTTGGGTGTATCTCTACATAAAAAACACAGTCTGTGCTCACAGACTATTGGGATATGTGAAGAAATAAATTTTTATTCCATGGTGAGGCAAAGAAACTTCTAGTGAAAACAAGATAATAGACTGTAAAGAAGAATGAACAATATTTTACAGCAGTTCTTTCAAATTCTCCCTCTTGGGCTATGTGCTTTATGATGTTTATAGTATTAAATATCACTAATAACTCAAAATAAGAATATAAAATGATTCACATACTTTTTGACTAAGAATCTTTTTGAAATGTAGAGGAATGAAAACTGAGAAACTATATAAGGGATAATTTAGCAAAAACCTAAAGATTCAAAAAGTTCCTAAATTATCCCAGTTCCCATGTTTCCTGTAGATTTATAAATTTACACATAAAGATTAGCTTATTTTATCTGTGCCTGATGGGTACCAACTGTTAATGATTTTAGCTTTTTTTAAAAAAATCTACAACATCCTGTTCCTAATGGAAAATTCATAGCTGTATCAAACAGATGGGTTATTTTTGCATCTCCCATAGAACTGTGCATGGGATTTTTTAAATGAACTGATTCTTTCTCCATTTCTAACTAAGAGACAGAGACCTTCCCTTTTCAGTAATTATATGTAGAAATTTATGTTAAAGAAGAAAACGGAGCAATACTAAATCATAAAACCAGGTTGGTATAACTGTAATCTTAGGAGATCCCATTTAATTAAAACTCTACATAGAGTCATTTTCCTTTGAAATAGTACTTTACACTATACTGAAAAATTAATTATGGCATGGGAGGAGCCCAGAACAGTTCCTGGCTGCCTAGCCTGGGCACTGCTGTCCCCAGCCAGGCTTTGGCATCGAGGAGATGGTAATATAAACACATAGTTCTGATTTTAAGGGATGGAATAAAATTTTCAAACATAATGTATGAAAAGTTATCCAGAAATTTGGGTAATCAGAGACATCAAAGAATATAAAAGTTATATTTTTATGTCAACAATATTTTGGATTGTTCTCAAACACAGAAGCTAGTCCTTCCTAAGACCTTTTCAAAACTACTAAAATCTTTGGATAAGCTCTGTATCCCAGAGACTATAAAATCTGGCACACAGGGGCTTACTAAGTGTTTGTGACTCCCAGTCCAAGTTTTTAAGTGTTTTTTCACACGCTAGAGNCCTGGCACACAGGAGGGGCTTACTAAGTGTTTGTGACTCCCAGTCCAAGTTTTTAAGTGTTTTTTCACACGCTAGAGCAGTTTTAAACTTTTGTTTGGCAGAAGGATGCTTCCCCACCCCCTTCAAAAGGTAATGTGAAGCACTAAAAAGAAACGAGCCATTAAGCAGTGAAAAGATATGGAGGAAGCTTAAATNCAGAGGAAGCTGAAATGCATATTACTAAGTGAAAGAAGCCAGTATGAAAAGGCCACATACTACATGATTCCAACTATAAGACATTCTGCAAAATGCAAAACTATGAAGACAGTAAATGGATCAGTGGTTAGGAGGAAGGGAGAGATGACTAGGCATTGCGCAGAGGATTTTCAGGGCAGGGAATATTTTGCATGACACTATAATGCTGGATATATGACGCTATACATTTGCCCAAACCCAAAGATGACATGTCAATGTGAGACTGTAACCAATGTACCAATCTGGTGACAGATGTCAATTGTGGGGGAAGCTGTGTGTATGTGGGGGAAAGGCATCTTTCTGTACTTTTTGTTCAGTTTTGCTGTGAATCTAAAACTGTTCTAAAAATGGTCATTTGTTACTTATTTAAAGTTATATTTACATTTATAAAAAGAGATATGTGCCCTTGACCAGAATGGAACAGAGAACCTTCAGTCTACATGCTGATGCTCTAACCACTGACGAGCCCGTGAGGATGAAGAAGGGCTACTTTGATGGAAGCTGTGGCAATGGAAGGAGAAGGGCGGAGAGAGGTGGAGCCTTGCCTGTCTCTCATCCTCCAAGCGTTCCCCGAGGCCTTGGGGGTACACCAGAGACCTAGAAGACAAGAGCTGAATGCCTTAGCAAGGCAAACAAGAGCCTTCTCCATCAGGCCTAGCTTTCCTTCCAGGCTCATTTCTCAAAGCTCCCAAGCGCCGTGCATTCACAATATTTTACACACACTAGTGTTTCCCCAAGTGCCTCCTGCTCCAGGGGCCTCCCTCCAGGCTGTTGCTTGGATTGCTCCCTCTACCTTGAATTATCCCCCCTCTTTTTCCACCTCCTTCTCTACTTGATGACTCCCTTGGAGCCTCAACTCGATAGCACCTGCCCTGTGAAGCTGTCCCAAATTCCCCAGGGGACTTTCCCTGAGCTTGGTTCATCCTGGACTCTCCATTCTGGCATGGTCAGATCCGTTGTCTGTTTTTGCATGCCTGACTCCTACCACACTGGGAGCCATCTGAAATAGCAGGGCCCTTGGTGCTTTCATCCTGGAATCCCCTATAACCAGCACAACGNATCCTACCGCACTGGGAGCCATCTGAAATAGCAGGGCCCTTGCTGCTTTCATCCTGGAATCCCCTATAACCAGCACAACGTCTGGGTTCCTAAATGTCTACTCGGAATGAATGAATGAATGAATGAATTCTATCCTTCCTCTCTGAGAAGATGANCTCCTACCACACTGGGAGCCATCTGAAATAGCAGGGCCCTTGGTGCTTTCATCCTGGAATCCCCTATAACCAGCACAACGCCTGGGTTCCTAAATGTCTGCTCGGAATGAATGAATGAATGAATGAATGAATGAATGAATGAATGAATGAATGAATTCTATCCTTCCTCTCTGAGAAGATGATCCCACCTCTCATTAGACTGGGATGGTTTTTCAGTCACTCTTTGGTGAATTTACTCTTTTCCCATCAGTTTCTTCGGCTTTGAGTCTTAATAGCAGCTGTCAATGTATTTATAAACCAGGCCAACCACAGCAACCATGAGTGGGTTTGGCCACTTAATCCTGCTCCCGCCCCCTCCATTTCTCTTGTTGGCAGAGCTGTGTTCCTTCAGATGTGTTTTCAGTTCATCCTTGAGTTACTTCACCTGCCTGCTCTAATGTACACATGCTCTTAGTTTATTAAAAGAAAACTTGGCAGGGTATGAAGTCCCCATCCTGTTCTCTGATAGAGAAGCAAGTCAGAATCGTTAGCTTTAGCTATGGCCTTTAGAGTATTTCAATAAAGGACACCTATTATTGCATGATTGCCTGGAACATTTGACACTTAGTTTCCAAAGCCTCAATTGAACATGGGCTGCAATTTTGCTGACATCCCAAGCCCACAGCAGTAACTCTGCTCCCCCTGGATTTGACAGCTGGAGTCTGCAGAGACTGGCAAATTATCTAAGGCAAGTGCATTCTTTCTTTCTCTAAATTTTTTATCTCCTCTGGCTTACAGAGGTAGCTCAGAGAAGTTCTTAAAGAATGCTTATTCAAGCTGTCAAGCTTTGTTACCTGCTGTGAATGAAGCCAGTCAGCCCATGAACTTCCTGTTTCCTCTTATTTTTTACACAGCGTCTTATCGCAAGTGTTCAGGCTCTCAGAGAAGCTTGAAGTTCAAATCAGGACTTCTGCTCCTGAATTGCCTGTTCCAAAGTTCACACACACACGGGGTTTTTAAAAAAACTGCTGTCTGCCCTCTGGAGACTCATTTACATGTGGTACTTCATGGACACCTGAATTTTTTTTATAGTCTTAAGGGCCTTGGGCTGAATTTTCAATGTACTTTTGAGTAAATTATTTTCTGCCCTAGATACAGATTCTGAGATAATTGGTCAATGATCCTTTACTATGTTTTTATATTTATATTTTCTTAAATTATTATATTTCTTAATTTATATTTATAGGTAGTTTCTTTCAATAATGGATAGTGAGTAATTATTTACCACAAAGCACATTCTCATAAAACTAAGGTTAGATGATCCCTGATAATGAATCTCCTTTCCAATAAAATTGAAAGTTCACAAGATCAGAGCTATAAATTAAGCAAATGTCAAATTCCCTTAGACTTACGGTGAACAAAGACCACCCTTAGCTTCCAAATCAGGTCATCAGTAAGAGTTAGAAAAATGTAAGCCTCAATAACCTTAATATCTTTGAAATACAGTGAAAGGAGGCAGAATTAGTTGCCACTATCTATTTATTCATTATCATCCTGTCCCTGGTCTCCACACTTCCATTCACTGGGAATCAAGAAGCCCTCCTCCTAACATATATGTATCACCTTGTCCCCAGAGTATTTAAGGTAGATTATAAAAGTATCTAAATCTAAAATACATAACAATATAGAAAAATATGTGAAGAAATTAGGCAAAGAGAAAATAAGGGCAGGAAAAGTTCAGATGAGCTGCAGGTAGGTTGAGCGCACAAATGATGCTATGAGGTCATTCGCATTTACTAGACGCAAGTAACACGTGAGTCTTCCTCTTGGGTGTGCGTTTATATCAGACTCTTTCTGTCTGATGGGCCCCATAAGGCATCATGGACATAGTGGCTCCTCGGGCCTGAGAGGGAGGGGGCTGTGTTGGGCAGGAAAGGAGGAATGGAGCAGCGCTGGTCAGCAAGCCCTTCTCACCGTAGACCGGATCCTGGCCTGCACCCCAATCACTCCCTGGTATCCTCCCCAACCTCCCACCTCCCGGCCTACCCTACATGATACCCCAAGTACTTACCAAGACCCAAGCAAGAAACTCTGAGTCCTGATTTTCCAAGATTCCTGGAATAAAAATAAAACGTGTGGTCATTGTTTCGTCAGGTGACACTGTATACATCTAACCATGAATATTCTCTCTCACTTTGATGACACTGTACTTGACTAGAGTGGTGGCAGAGGCAGAGCCCCAGACACAGGCTGCAGCCGTGGGGAGAGCCCCTCACTCATCTCCATTTGGGCACTAGGAGCTCAGAAGGTGCTCAGGCTCACCTGAGGAACAAACGTCCCCACCAAGTGCAGCTTTTCAGCCCCGAATGATAGTTTTTATTAATTTGTTTACAAACTGTCTTTCTCTTTCTAGAATTTGAGTTCCTTGAGTATGACGTCTATATCTTACTCACCAATTATCATTCATTATTTGTTCATTACTCATCAGCAGAACCTGGTGCACAGTAGACCCTTTGTTGGCTGAGTAACTGACAAACTAACGTCTAAAACAGAGTATTATTACTAGTGGATGGGGATTATTAAAAGAACAAATACAAAATCCTCCAGGCTATTTAAACTAAATTATATTTTTTTTTATAAAATGCTACATAAAGTTGCTACAAGAAGGCTAGATAGTCCTTTTTATTAATATATCTTTATTGACTTCAGAGAGAGGAAGGGAGAGGGAGAGAGAGATAGGAGCATCAATGATGAGAGAGTCATTGATCAGCTGCCTTCTGCACGCCCCCGGCTGGGGATCGAACCCACAACCCAGGCATGTGCCCTGACCGGGAGTTGAGCTGCCATTTTCTGGATCCTACGTCAATGCTCAACCGCTGAGCCACGCCAGCTGGGATAGATTGTCTTTTTTAAATGATTCTTTTTTCCCTCATCAACACCTTTGATTTTCAACGCTAAAAGTTTACCAGGGAAAGGAAATATATTTCTACTTTCTAAACAGGGACAGAAACAGGCACTCTAGTCTTTATTGTAACGTGTGCCCATGGAGACCCAGGCCGGACCCATCTTCCTGTCACCTAACTGCCCTCAGAGAAGAAATCAGAAATCGGATTCTCAGAGAGAGGACGCCTCATAGTTTTGCAGGGGTCCAATGGGAGGAGGTAACCTTAAATAATTAAAACATTGTAGGAAATGGTATCCCTTTCTTCTTTTCCAATTTAAAATTTCTTTTCCAATTACCGTTTACATTCAGTATTATTTTGTATTAGTTTCAGGTGGACAGCACAGTGGTTAGACAATCGTATAATTTACAAAGCGATCCCCCTGATATTTCAAGTACTCGCATCCCTTATACTCTGATCAGATGCTCTTAAGAGAACACAATCCCCCCCATCCAACAAAACAGCACACACAAACTTTTCCAACTGCAGCTCAGCTCCTTGAGGTCCTCCCTTGATNCCCCCTGATATTTCAAGTACTCGCATCCTTTATACTCTGATCAGATGCTCTTAAGAGAACACAATCCCCCCCACCCAACAAAACAGCACACAAACTTTTCCAACTGCAGCTCAGCTCCTTGAGGTCCTCCCTTGATCAGGGTTAGCAGTGCTCTCGTTTTTGCATCAGTTTCTTTCCTCTACTTATTCTTGTTTATAAAGTCACCTAAGCAGCACATTTAATTTCTTAGCATGGTCCAAAGTGCATCACATTGCAAAGAACTGTAAGATACAGGTTTCTATCCCATAGGAGAACCTAGAGAGGCAACCTTGGAGAAGTCACTTCCTTCCTATGGGTTCAATTTCTTCATTAGTAGGATAGGATATTAATGACTGTGCCATTCAACCAGCATCACTGTGTGGGGCTGGGACATGAAAATGCCTGCTAAAGTGTTGCACAGTAAACAATGACAAGCCATAATTATTTCTGGTGTTTTCTGTCTCGCTCACCATTTCTCAGACATAGTGCTAAAATTTCCTGTAGGAATTGGATATGTCCACCTGGAAGGAAACTCTTGCATAAAGATGGGTGTGAAAAATATTTTGAACTACTGCACTAAGGGAAAAATAACTGGATCTCTCCTAAGAAAATAATTTGCATAAGAAATTGCACACACATATATTTAAATTATAATTGTACATCAAAAAATTGTTCATTTAGTAGTCTCTCAGAAAACTACAGGTTGTGCAACCAGAAGATCTTTCTTTTCGTCTAAAAGTCTACTGATTTTAAGGATAGGAATTAAGAGGAAAAGCTGTATAGTGGGGAGAATTTAAAAAGACAGCACCAAAACAGAACAAAAAAAAGCATGTATGTAAATGTGATTGAGTCTTCGAGGTAGAATTACTCAACATTGATGAGTCAGCAGAGATTTATGGAGGGTGAGCACATTCCAGGCAATGTCCAGGCCTTGGGGATACAGAGAAGAAGTAGGCCCAGGGTCCCTGGGAGTATATGGGAAGGGGGCCACTGTCACAGGCTTGTATTTGCGTAGCTATGTGAGCGCTGTCATGGAAGAAAATCTAGGAAAAGACTTTTATGTCACTTTAATATCTTTAAGTAATTCTGAGAACAACAGGGAGGGGGGACGTGGTGCAGAAAACTATGCAGAGCATAACATTTTTATTACCAACTCAAGTAGGGCAAGGCTATGTCACTGGGCACTTCCTGAGGGACATCTCCGCATTGAAGGTGGGGAGACCTGCCCCATTGCCTATGACAGTGACTTAGGAAGATAGTGATCACTCTGCCAAGGGTTTGGAGAACCAACGTGAGGAGCTTGAGAATCGTCAGCAAAAACAAACTGCAAAGTAGCAAGTACTAAACGTGGCCCATTTTTTTTGCCGCCGCTGCTGAAACTCTCCAGCCAGCTTTACTGGAATGAAAGGCTTAGCAGATTTTGCAGTGTAAGAAAAGTTCAGGGACAGACATATTGATGTAGTGGTCATAGGTGCCTCACTGAGCTCTGAGGTTTTTATTTCCTTTAACTCTTTTAAAAAATACCTTCACCGTCTAGAGGGAGTGATTACCATATTCAGGTGGTTATTTTTAAAGTGAGACATTTTCTGTGCACAAGCCATACCTAATGTCCAAGTCCATCACCCTGACTTTGGCCAGGCCCGCGTGTCTTTGTGAGATTCCCACCCCACAAAGCACTCTCGGCACCTGATGTGCTTCTCACTCTGCAGATGGAGAAGGGAGGAGGAATTCGTGCCCTCCAATTCAGGGCGTGGAATTCCTACANATTTTTAAAGTGAGACATTTTCTGTGCACAAGCCATACCTAATGTCCAAGTCCATCACCCTGACTTTGGCCAGGCCCGCGTGTCTTTGTGAGATTCCCACCCCACAAAGCACTCTCGGCACCTGATGTGCTTCTCACTCTGCAGACAGAGAAGGGAGGAGGAATTCGTGCCCTCCAATTCAGGGCGTGGAATTCCTACACAATTTCCCCAATTCCAAACGGGGCACTGCATCCTTCTGCCTGTGTTTACGTCTGCACAATCCTAACTGCAGATGTGGCGATTGTCCAGCTCTGCTGATCTATTTAAGCTCTGCTGCACAATAGGATCCCAAATACTGGACGCATTTGAGCTAATGAGTACAACATATATCATCCCAAAGCTTGTGTGTGTGGCTATACCATCAAATAATGGCCAAGTTTACACATCATGCTGGGCTATACCAGACGCCCAGGAACCTTCATTATCTCAGCCATATGGAATTCTCACGAACACTTTATGATCTTGGCGTGACATTGTACAAATAGCTTAATAGATTTTCATTTTATTTCTTAATTCTTCAGCGTTTGCACCATTGAGGCTACATAAAAATTCTGTACGCACATCAAATTTTTAATTAGATTGAACTCCTTTCCCATTTGATTCAAAATACTAGTTTTATTGCCCAGGTTTAACTATTTTATCTGTGTCAGATATACCAGAAGGAAGTCTCAGCGTGTTCATTTTTAGTATCTGCTCCTGTTAACTCAAAATAAAAGCTCCTCTTTCCCAGGTGAACCTGAGCTGCTCTGCTGCTAATTTTAGAAATGAATGACATCAGTGTGGGGGCATGGGACACTGAGCTTTGTCAGTCAAATTTTGGAAATCCTAAATCTTAAATAAGAACTTCAGTAAAAAGTTACCTGGAGAAGTGATATAGCTTACAAGAATACAACCGTGATATTTCTCCTTTCTTTCTGAAGGCGGGACTAACACTTACTGAATATTTGGCAGAGGCATTAACTATAATTCCTAATGTTGTTTTGTGAAGTATCCATCAGGCTCTCTGATTTTGAGGCAATAATGGAGTGTTGAGAGCTGAAATCAAGCATCACTTAGGCACAGCATCACAAGCCACTCTGATGCTTGTGGTTGCTTTATAAATCAAAGATGCTAAAAGCAGAAGATTAGCAACCTAAATGTGTTGCTCTAAATTGTTTGCTCCTGAATACGTGTATTTTAGACACTATTCGCAGTCATAAATGGCTCGAGAAAGAGGTGTAGCTAGCTAAAATACGTACCTTGCATGTGACCAAGAAAGATGCATATTGCATGGGACAAAATTCCTGATTTAAAGGCTGACACAACAGGGACAATTAAAGCACTTGTAAGGGGCTGCGGTGGCCATGTCCAGCTGGCAGAAACCAGTTTCAGTTTGGTCTGTTTCCACGTGCTCAGATCATTACATCACCTGCTGTCTCGCTCTATTTGAACACCTTTCTGATCCCTCTAACTCACGCTCTCCTGTTGGGGGTGCATCACCTGGAAGTTACTAGTCAAATCCAGGGTATGGAAATTGTTTTTAAAACAAGAAATGTACATTTAACCTTTTTAAAAAAATCCAGAGCACAAGGTATGCTCATTTGTTAGTTAGCTGCTTCTGATGGTTGCACAAGAACATACATTTTGACTGCCATGAAGGTGACGACAAATGGTAACATGCTTTCTAATGAAGGCACCATTCACCATGGTTGATAAGTGAACAGTGACTCGTTGGGAAACCAGAAAGCCATGCATTTTGATGACAGGCACTGACAAGTAGCACAGTGAAACTATTTCATTCTTAACTTTTACTGAAGTAGCAACAAAGTAGAATGGGATTCTTTTAGACTCT